TGTACCGATGCACTATGGGTGCATCGGTACACAAATTAGGTTCAAAATTCTCATGCATCGATGCACCCTTTAATGTATCGATGCACCTTCAAAATTGGTCTTAATGCATCGGTACCCACTCTTAGTGTACCGATGCACCTGTCAATAATAAACTGGTTTCACCTGAAAATCATCTACACTTCACCCAAATTTTCATGTATACAACCCTTATTATGCTACTAAACTCATCTATAACAACTTTAACTAATTTCTATCATTCCAACACTTTAGAATCTCCTATATTTCATCCAAATTCTTAAAGTTAAGAATCATACCCAATTTTTCATGTTATCCAAACTTTGATTTAACACTTATAACTTCTTATTCACAACTACGACAAGTCAATTTCAGCTTCTAAATCCATTTATAAGTCTTTATTCAAAATTTCACTTATCCACTTCTTAGCTTTAATCCTTCATAACTTACAAATCTTTGAGTTTCTAAAACATTTTTCATCTCCTTCATGTTTCCTAAGACTTCCTTAACCGAAACCATACTTAAATTTTAAGGATTAACCAAAAGAAATCCAACTTACCTTGGCTTGGGGCTTCACGTTGGAGAAGGAAAAGATGAAGAAGATAATTCTGGAAACTTATCTCCTCAAAACATGCTCCACATGGGTATTATAATACCCAATAATTATTATTTAATTATTTTCCTTGTTCAAAGACCCATTTACCCTTTTACTTCTCCTTCATTTGTTAATTCATCCTACACCAACATCTTTCAATTAATTCCTTCACTTTTCAATTTATCTAATTTGGTCATTGAATTTTAAAATATTACACTTTAATCACTAACCAGTATTGAGGATGTTACAGGCCATTTCTAACCATTGGGAGTGTTTTGGAGCCGTTGGAAATCAATTTTCGTGCAAAATAAAACTGCCCAGAATAGAGGGTATCGGTACTCCTAAAGGGAGTACCGATACTACATTTGTTATTTTTAAATCAACTAGTCGTTGGGGCCTGATGGTATCGATACTATGCCTAATGTATCGATACTACTATATAGAGTAGTATCGGTACCTCTTTGGGTATCGGTACCATTTTTGCATTATGGAATTTTAGCAATGCTGGTAGTATCGGTACTACCTATTGAGTATCGATACTTCCCTTACCTTTGGTATCGATACCATATGAACAATATCGGTACTATTCATGAGGTATCGATACTGTAAGAACAATATCGGTACTTCTTGTCCAGAAAATCATTTTATGCTCAATTCCACTTTTAAATGGACTTTGAATTATTTTTGAAAACTTTGAAAAACTTTAAATAAATTCAATTCAAGTCCAAAAACATTTTGCCATAAATTGTTATATCAAAATATAGTTCAACATTTTTTAATTTAATATTAAATTTGAGAATATTTTTTTGTTTCAATATATTTTTAAAATTTTAATTTAATTAATATTATTTTAATCATATATTAATGAAATAATAATAATAATAAATGTCACATCATACATAAATATTAATAAAATAAATCATGATTATCAAAACAGGAGTAATTCAAAAGTTGAGTGATAAAATTGAAAACTTTTAAAGTTTAGTGACTAAAATAGAAGAGAGAAGATAATTGAGTGATAAATGGTATAACTTATAACAACAGTAAATAGAAATAGGAGAGCCAGATTGAGAGGAAAAAAGACCCCATCAGCTTAAAGTAACAGTCACACTGGTTTTTTTTTTCTAAATTGGAGGGCCACATTAGTGCTTTTTTTCTAAATTGGAGGGCCACATTGAGTAAAAAAATGGAGAGCCACATTAGTTTTTTTTTAAAAAAAAAAGTTGAGGGCCTCAGCCATTATTTTTCCAAAAAATTTCAACGAACTTCTTGAACTACCAACTTATTGGTAAAATATTAATGTTTTGTGTCATGCGCACCACTCTTGAAACTGTCCAAAATTGCAAAATGTTGAATTATATATATATATATTCAAAGTTAAGGTAATTACATAGTAGTATCTACTTTAAATATTTTTAATCATCTGACAATAAATGTTTAATTATATTACTATAATTGTTGGTGTTTGAATCCTTAACCTTTAAAAACAATAATAATTTATTTAACCAGTAAAATAAATTGATTCTTGCTGTAAAAAATTAGAATTAGAATTGAAGTACCAAGTACAAATGTTGATAATTAAACTATTTATTAAATTATTGATTTTTTTATTCATGTGATGTGTATGTGTGGGGACGTTGAACAAGTATAGATTAATATATTTTAAATTATTTTAGTATTTAGATTTAAATAATTAGAATAAACTACAATATTTACTCATTAAATTATAGATTTGATTTTACTATGATCATTGATAAAAATTATCAATTAAACCATTAAATTATTCTTATAAAATGAAAATTTCAAAAATATAAATATTTGCGTAAATTTAGACCAAACCCATTCCTTGATTGAAGTAATATCTAATTTTCCTCGTGCATCTTCGTCAGCATTAGGGGTGTTCAAACCGGGTATTCGTATTTTTGGATACCCGAAGTATCTAGTATCTTATTCTTCGAATAGTATATTTTTTGGTTCGTGTCCTAACCCGGTAAGTCCAACTACTCGTTAGTCGGGTACTCGTAAAATTTGGATACCTACATTTTCAATTCACGAATACTCGGTTTATATATATTTTTTAAATTCAATTTTAAAAAATAACATATGAAACACATAAAATTTAAAATTTCATAATGCATAATCTATACACAAAATAAGTAATTTAAAGTTAAGTTTAAAAATTAATATATATATATATATATCGTGATTTTTCCTTCGAATCTTATATTAACAAATTAATATTTTTAAAAAATAAAACTTAAATAAACCTATAAAAAAGTAAGAATATATATATATATATATATATATATATATATATACTATGGAATTGGGTCGGGTACTCAATGATAAAAAATTAGACTCAAACCCGGCCTAATTACCCGAGAAAGATCATGAGTTAGATATTCAACGTGATCAAATAATTAATTTTAACGAACTACTCAATTTGTTTGAATTCGGGTCGGTAGGTCAACAGGGATGGAGTAATGGGGTAGGGTTTTTTAAACGTACCTAGTCAGCACGCAGTAATGAAGAAAATGACTTTGCACATTAGGAAGTAAAGAAAATAATGTGATTACGCTACTTGTTGACAATGACTTGTACTTTATTATGTTAATTTAATCCTATCCAACCAAAAATTAGGAGACAAGGTCTTTTCTAAAAATAATCAAGGCCTGTATAATAAATATATCTTATCAATCAGAGTAGGTGAAATTTTAAATAAAATATTAATTTTTATTTGAACATTCACAATCAAATAAATTTCTATAATTTAATTATAAAATTGTTAAATAAAAATTTAGTTGAGGCATTATTCAATTTTAAGATTTGTTTGATCATAATTTTTTAAATAATTAGTAAATTAAGATAATATTTCACTCAATTTTTTTTTAATTATCATCCAACTCATTCAAAACTAATTTATTATATAATATCATAATCAATGCATGTGTTATTAATTAGGGTTAACTATATGATTGATCATTTATATTTAGGTTTTATCCATTTTTTTCATTAAAAAATATAATATACGGTGACTTTCGATTTTATTTCATTATGATGTAGTCACCACGAGTAAACTTCCGTTGAACATTTTGGTATAATCACAAATTTGGTCTCCATTATTTATATATATTTTTAATTTAGTTTTATTTTAATTAAAATAAATCAAAATAGAGTTAATCTTCAAACTGAATGATGACACGTGATACCAGTGATACGGGTACAAAAACTAACAATTGCAAATTTTACCTAATTAACCAATTATAATTACGTCGTATATATGTCAGTACCCATTAATTTTTTTTACTTGTCTCTATTAATGTGGTTTGCTTTCAGAACGTAATACATGTATTTACAAACAAACGAACAAAACAAAAAGTAAAATAAAATAGGCCATGCATGTGCTAGTTGAGATCAAAATTAAGCAGAGTTTAGGCGATTCATGAATAATTGACGTAGAAATTAATTAGTAATTAGTAGTTAACTGATAAATTAAGAAAGAAACAATTTTTTTACTTATGGATTGAGAAGTAAAAAAAAATTAAGAAACAAGAAAGTTTTGGTAGTGAAAGACCTCCAGAGAAATCATAAAATCGAGAAGGCTGCTTGAAAGTTAGAGGATCGTATAAAAAAAACAACCTTCATATTTTTCTACTTCAGATAAATTTTAAAGACGTATTTTCTTAAAGGATAAGAATTGTAACACCTCGGAATCTAGAACTAATATATATATATATATATATATTAAAGGAAACTTATTGTTTAATCCAGAATCTCATGGACACACAAATTATAATTAATTTATGAATTATTAGTTGGACATTCAAATCTACTATATTTAGTCGTGAGTCATCTTCTCAATTTGATGGAATTAATTCATAAAAAATATTTAGTCTTTATAAAAAAAGACCTTAGTAAACGTAAGAAGTTTTAACAATAAAATTAATAATTGTTAACTATTTAAAATTCTGAAAAATAAGTCCTATTAACGTCATTAGTATTTTTCAACTTAAAATAAAATTAAAATCCCAATCCGAGCAAAATCAGATCTCGTATTTTACCTAATATTTAATTGTTTTTAATACAGTGGAAATATTCGGACAAAGGTTTGAGCAGGAAACGACAGGTCGCAAAGTCACACACAAAATCTGACAAGAAACCATTAAAAAAAATCAACAGCTTGCGTGTCCTACTTAGAATCTTGACCTGTGCTCATGATCATGATCCTAGTCAGCAAGTTAGTCTACGTGTCAAAGTAATCTCTTTCGAGGACACGTGTCTGCTTATAAAATCCTCCCATAGCTTATTTCCATGTATATATAAATCCCCTGTCCTGTTCCTTCTAATTATGGTTTATCCGTTTCGTTCATTCATTCATTCACTGCAAATCTTCAAAAAAAAAAAAAAAATTAGCAAATCATTTCTTTGATTGGTTTTCTAAACCATTCTATATTCTCTCGAAATTTTCATCATTTGTTTCTCGCGGCGGTTTGAATAATTTTTTTTCTCGGAAAAAGAGAAAATGAAGGAAAGTGTGGGAAATCCTCTTCACCTCAAATCTTTGAACCATATCTCTCTTGTGTGTAGATCGGTTGAGGAATCCATGAATTTCTATCAGAATGTTCTTGGATTTGTTCCAATCAGGAGGCCTGGATCATTCGACTTTAACGGGGCTTGGTAATCATTAAAAAGAAATTGTTCCTTCTCTTCTTTTCAAGCTTAATTTGCTCGATGAAATTCCCGAGTTAATTTTTTCTGGATATGATGCAGGTTGTTTGGACATGGAATTGGAATCCATCTGCTGCAATCAGAGAATCCTGAGAATAAGCCCATGAAAAAGAAAATCAATCCCAAGGATAATCACATTTCTTTTCAGGTTCATTTCTTCTCTCTCTCTCTCTCTCTCTCTCTCTCTCTCTGTTTCTGTTCAATTGTTCTTGATGATTATATAAAACTAGGTTTCGATGTTCCTTTTTAATCACGAAAATTGTGTTGCAATTTGATTGCTCTGAATTGGGATACGGTGATATGAACAAGAAGAAGATGGTTCAATTATAAATTATCAAGGAATTAGTCATGCCAGATATAACTTCGCAGCTTTTTTAACCAATCGATATATAAATTTGTTCAGTGTGAGAGCATGGGGTCGGTGGAGAAGAAGCTGAAGGAGATGGAAATAGAATACGTGCGGGAAATGGTGGAAGAAGGCGGGATCTACGTGGAACAACTCTTCTTCCACGACCCTGATGGGTTCATGATCGAGATATGCAACTGCGATAACCTGCCGGTCATCCCACTGGCTGGCGAGATGGTTCGATCCTGTTCCCGACTCAACCTGCAAGTGCTTCAGCGTCAGCAGATACACCAAGTGGTTCAGCAGTGATCACATTCATCCGAACAAAGCACACACCCCTTCTGCCTTATCCGTGTAATCATCCTATCTATGCATGTTTTTCCCTTAGTTATCTTGTAATAAAACACCGCAATGCAATCATGAGGGAAGTGACCATTTCGGTTAGCAAAATTTAATGCACAAGATGAAGCTACTTTTAGTTGATGACAATGAATCAGTTTGTTGTTTGGGATGGGACAAGAAATCTTACGTCCAGTTTTGTGCAGCTACTTCCAAGTGTATGATTTTCTTACCAGTAACTTTCAAAATGAATAGTCTTGTTCACTTCCGTTTATCTCCATTCATTCTTTCGTTTTCCCTTGTACCAAACACTTTATTTTTTCTTCTTTTGTCTTTCAAGGAACACCAGTAGCTACACATTGAGGTCTTTCTAGAAAATTCAAGTTCAATTAAAAAATTACAAGTTTTCTTAAATAACTCATGAAGATTGAGTTGAAAAAGAACATTGATTTAATCGAGTTTACAATTATAATTTTATTATCTAAATTTTAATTGATTTTATTTTAAAGTAAATATAAATATGGTTTATAATGTTATTTAATAAATTAAATAGTATTTAAAATTTTACGGTATAATATTGTTAAAAGATTTTTTAAAAAATTAAATTATTGACGCGAGAATTAAAAATATAAAATTGATAGAAAGACAATAGAATTTTTTTGTGAACCTTGAAAAGTCGGCCAACTTTAGTAAAGTAATAAACACAAATGGTCGTTTTTATCGAAATATAATTCTTACATTGTCAGCACATTTTCTTCTAATATTACTGATCTAGTTTTTATCAAAATATCATTTGTACATTGTCAGTACCTTTTCTTCTAATATTACTGATCTAACACCATTTCTAACAAGGCGCGGATATCCGAGCTGGCGCTATGTCAAGCGCGAGATTTCTGACACGTATGTAAGGTGCATATAATAATTTGTGTCTTTCCTTTAATACTCCAACCGTTCACCTCCCACATTTATGGGAACCCGTCTACCCCTCCCCTCTTCTTATAAATACCCCATCTCCTCTTCCCCAAACACAACCTCCAAACCACACTTAAATCTCAAATTCTCTCATTCTTCCGAGTATCAGTCTTTCTATTAAGAATGAAAAATATTTTTATTGTATTATAATAAATCAATAATTTATTAATTTATTAAATTTTATTATACTAATTTTTTATTAATTTTTGCAGTCATAAAATGGAAGGCGGTTTGCTACGTTTAGATAAGAATCATATCTCGAGGCATTTTGCTGATACGGTAACAATTTTAAATTCTGTTGTAATTTTAATTATTGTTAATGTTTTATTTATTTAATTTGTTTAGTATTAGTTTATATTTTAATTTCTATAATATTTATTAAATTAGGAGAGAGACTGTATATTAGATACATTCCTTTGTAACCTTAAGTTAGATATACCTACTCGTGTATGGTCGTATTTAGTCGAGGCTGGATTCTGTTACGTAGCAAAATATGAAGGGCATTGTAACCTTGAATCCAACCTTATTTCTTCTGTAACACCCCCAAACCGTATCCGGCCCGGATACGAATCGATGTGTCACATTGACTTTTCAAAGCACATACATTTATAAAAACCATGGTAAATTTAAACTTTTATTAACACAAAAGTCATATATACATACATTGATTTCTACATATTACAAAATTGATCAGAGCATGCATACTTTACGACTTTATTTACATGCCAACATATTTGATTCATAACCAAAACATACTATGTAAAGTACTTCTGATCTGATCATCACGCGAAGATATGATGTTGTACTGCTCCTAAAGCTGATCTTCTTGTTTCCCGGTACCTACGTGTAAATCACTTACACGCTAAGTCATAGACTTAGTGAGGCATAATCATATAATAAAGAATTTCTATCAATATGAACATACAATCTATTATTCAAATGCAATTATGTTCATTAAATCATAAACCAGTCATACAATATATACGAATCAATATCATGATGCTACCATATTAATATACAATTATGTCTGTCATATAATAATTTATTATCTCATGCACATAACAATATAAATAACATTACCATATTAAGATACAATTATATACATACTCTTTCTGTCCTTTATAAGCCCATATACACTAGTGAGAACTCAAGGTATACGAGTACTATGAGGTTGTGCACACATATGCTGTGACCACAACTTGTATAAAATCCACCAAGTGGCATATGAAATCTGTGTCCCGAAGGACCTATCCATATGTTTCAAAGAACATAGGTAACATTGTCCATATGTCTCGAAGAACATAGGTAAACTGTCCATATGTCTCGAAAGACATAAGTAACCCTCGACTCTTGGCATGCCAGCTATACCTCTAGCTCTCATTTTACATAACACGGGCATTATCATTTATGATAATTCATATCACTTATATCTCATAAACGTATTCACATATACATGTAATCACATAACTTATTTTCGCGTACTTCATGTCACTTTTCCTATGATTTCATAGATCATTGTCATATATTGCACATCACATATACTTATATTCACATAGTTAAATGTTATTGAACTCATTTCACTTTCCCAGATTATTACATAAGCATATAGTCTCATATGTCCTATCAATAATATAAGGATTTACTTATGTACTCATGTATACTCTTTCATATAATTTGCATAGTAATGCTATTTACTCATATCATATAATAATTTCATCTAAATCTCCCTCATTAAGTTTATACTACATGTTCATATAATCTCATTTTATCCTATAAGTAATTTCTACTCATCTTATCTCACTTTTCCAATTCACTCTCATAACTTATTTGTAACTGTTCACATGATTTAATTTCATTAATCTGAATTCATACAGATCATATAACCTATATTACTTATCTCACTTTATTTATACACTAGTGTAATCTATTTATTTAGTTAAATTTCACATGACTCCTATAATACTTTTTCATAAAGCTTTGTAGTTCTTCACTTTATAATCGTATACAGATCATAAAGTTTTGAATCACCACTTATGTTTATGTCCCATAATTTATATGTTATTCTCATAGAGTCTCATAACCTTTCTCGTGTAATCATTTATACCATATAATATAACTTGTACTTGGTTATCCTATGTTCACATATATCAAATGATTTTTTAGTTTTTAGCTTATGTAACATATTCATTTCATTCCTTATGTCCTTATCACATAACTTAATTTACATTCTTATATAATAATATAGGTCATTTGTACTATTTCACATGACTTATCACAGTAACATATATTTACACAAATTATATAACATACACAATAACATGTCAATACATACACTCATGCACACATATAAAACATAACAAACACATAATTCTATCTATGAATTAATGCATTTACCATCGGAAATAGACTTGTCACAAGTCTTATTTCCATTAAACATCATATACTGACTAATATGCACTCACTTAGATCTCTTTGCTTTTCCCTCAATCGTTCTTACTTCCCAAATGTTCCAGAATTGCTTTAGTCTCAGAATCTACATAAATATACATTTTAAGGCAATTATTAGATGTCTACATCTTGTAATTTGATACTAATAGCTTAAACGAATTTAATGAACCAATATTCATTTTTTCCTTTAGGGGTATCAATGCACTATGGGTGTATCGGTACACAAATTAGGTTTGAAATTTCTATGCATCGATGACTGCCAGTGTGTATCGATACACCCCTGAATATATCGATGCACTATGTAACAGTTCTTCAAAATTTTGTCTTAGTGCATCGATACATATTCATAGTGTATCGATACACTTGCCCAAAATAGGCTATTTTCACCCGAAATTCATCAATACTTCACCAAAATTTTCATGTATCGAACCCTTATTATGCTATCAAACTCATTTATAACCACCATAACTAATTTATATTATTTCTACACCTTATAACCTCTCATATTTCATCCAAATTCTTAAAACTAAGAATCTTACCACGTTTTCCATGTTATCCAAACTTAATTAAAACTCTTATAACTTCTTATTCTCATAGATGACAAGTCAAATTCAATCTCAAACTTTATTAAAGAACCCTCTTTCAAGATTTCACTTATTCCCCTTTTTAATTATCTTTATTCTCTTCATCTTATTGTTTCAAGACAATTTAAGCTCTCCTGAAGCTTAATTATTACTTAATAATCAAAACTCAACCTTAAATTTAATAAGAAATCAATTAACCAGAAACTCACCTTTATCTCTTGGCTTCCACACATGAAGAAGAAAGGAGAAGAAGAGAATTTTGGAAACTCACTTAGTTTCCCTCTCCCTCATGTGGTTAATATATATATAACCATACTTGATTATTTTCTTTACAAATGGCCATTTTGTCCTTCAATTCTTCCCTCTTTATAATTTAATCCTACACAACATTTTCATATAAGTCATTGAACTATTCCATTATTCTACATTATCCACTAAATTCTGAAATTTAACAATTTACTCACTAACCCAGTATTGAGGATGTTACATCTTCATTGGTTGAGAAGTGGAGACCAGAGACACACACATAACATCTTCCCAGTGGAGAGTGCACAATTACGCTGGAGAATATTTCCACGCATTTGGGGATTTCTGTAAATAGGGAGGATTTCTGGGGTGGCGCATGGTGACTGGCATTCCTTATGCGAGGAATATCTTGGAAGTGTCCCGCCTAATTTCAGCGGTGGTCTCGTTAAATTGGTTTGATACAAATTTCTAACATTTGAGTTGCGATACCTCCGAGGAGCAGGTTAAAATGTTTGTGCGTGCTTCCATATTACACTCATAGGAGGGCTCATGATGCTCGAAAAAACGCGCAACCAAATTCATTATATGTGGTTACGTCACCTCGCAAATTTTCATCATGCTGGCACACTCAATTGGGGCTTCGCAGTTTTGGTATTTCTGTAAAGGAAAATGTGTCGAGCTACTGACTATCGAAAAAATGCTATCATCAAATGTTTCATTCTTCTTCAGTCTTAGACATGATATCGCATACCCTTTATATGTCCTGTGATGAAAAACTCGTTGGTCTTCCCACTATTATTGAGGTAATTTCAATACTGATTTCGTATATAAATA